TTTTTGCCTTTTCTCATTAGAAAAATCTCTCCATTCAATTTATAATTTTAGCCACTCTACCTGAACAGTGTCAAACTGTTCTGAATTACAAGATCACCATCTATAATTATGCACGTTGGGTCCCAAAAAATTATCTAGGAGATAGCATTCTACGAACAACCATATGATTGGTAAAATAGAGTTTTGCAACACACAAGTTACTCAACCCTAAATGTTGTCCTTGAGGGTTTTGAACTAGAACTATGTGCTGCCTTACTGCAGTGTGTGGATAAAACTATCTTTAGTTAAAATGTACCTGAGTTTCCAGTCTTTCACAAACTAAGTCACTAAATTCAACATGTTAACATATATTTCCAATAAATTTATTTCTAATCTGTAGGACTTTTTCCTTTTTCAGCTAAGAGCCAGGTCCTTGTCACATGGCCATGAGAGATTAGGCTCACAGACACTTTCAAGGGTAAAAAAAAGTGGAATGAATTGAGCAAAAAGGGCAAGAAGGGGAAAAAGGGGAAACAGGAACATTCCACAAAGTCAGAGTCCTGCTAACGTGCTTCCCGCCTCACAGATTGAATCCCAGCTTCCACCCAGGAAGAGGAGGGGCCAGGCTCCTTCCTACTGCAAACTTCGGTGGCTCCATCTGAGTGTACATTTTTCCCAGTGTGCAGGTCACTCAGAGGTTCTGCTAGGGAGCCATTCCCACTTGACTGTCTCATTCCCCCTCCATAGAGGCACGTCTAACTCCTGTTAGAACAAGGGATAAGGATGAAGACAGATCTTAACTGCTTCCTGCTGACAGGGGGTGCTGTTATGGGGAAAATGGCAGTCAGAACTCCCTCAGAGGCCTATCTAAGGGACCCTGGCAAAAAGGGCAATACTCCAAGGCTCTGGTTTTATGACTGGAGTTTGAGGGCATGAAGGCAAGAAGAGACGAACCGGATTAGAAAACATGTATCAAAATGAAATAAGGGGAGGAGTAAGGAAAGCTAAAAAATCCCAAGGCCTTTTATGAGTTTGCACAGGGAGAGGGAAGCCAAAAGCCCAACTGATAATAAAATTTACCCTTTTGCCAGCATGTTGGGCTCTGAGTTCCTTTCCCTTGAGCCCAATCCTAAGCCAACAAGTTTAAAGTTTGGGAAATAAACTTTTCTCAGTTTGAAGGATGCATCTCAAGTGAGTGTCCTGTATTATGAATATATAATTAACTATCAGTGAAGACAGGACAGAAGAGGAGAAAGTTAAAAGAAGGCATTTTATTTAAAGGAGTCGCAGGGGTTCAGGATGCAACTGAAAGGAGTACAGACTGAAGATAAATGGCTACCCATCTAGGAAGAGGGGAGCAGGCATCCCTGGTTCCCTTCTTTTCCTAGCAGATACCCAGGGTACACGGGGGAGAGAAGGAAGAACATCCTCTTTTCTTTTCTTCTTTGTCCTTGTATCTCTGATACCTGGCAACCTTGGCAGGTGCCACCACTGATGCCAAAGTGGCTTGCCCCTATGAAGCAGGCAGGGCCTGGAAAATAGAAATTATCCACTCTCACCTATGTCTCTATCCCACCTACGTTCAGTAGCCTTGGAGTTCCCTAGACCTCATTTATGCCACGGATACTAGCATGACCTTTATCCATGAAAGAGGAGGCTTGCCTTAGTCAGCAGGAATTAGCCATGCTCACTTGCACAGTGCGTATTTTCCTCTTATTGGTTGCCTCCGGATCCCTTAGATCAAGTTTTTCTTCTTAGGGCTTTGACCTGAAGCTTGGAATTGAGTTTGGGACAAAAATGTGTCTTGACAGGAGTTGCCAGGACTCCTTGTCATAAGCCAAATGCTAAGGCGAAACTGGGGATTTGAGTCATCTTTCAACAAGGGAGAGAAAAGGGTGTCTTGTGACACACCCAGATAACTGGTGGCTACAGTTATGCTTGCTAGGATTTGGGTGCATGGTACTTGGCTTTGGTTAGCTCACTTGATCTTGCTTTCCCAAAAAGGAAACCTCTGAGTGATGGGCACCCTATTTATTGCCATCACCTGGCAGGATTTGCTCGGACCTAGAATATTGCAATATATTTTAATGGCATCTGCATTTTACCAATAATTTTTAAGGTTGTTTTTATTTCTGAAAGATTAAAGTCATGTGAACTGAAAGCTACTACAGCTTTTATCTTCCCTTTAAAAAATATAATTGCTCGGAACTAGAATACTGATTTAGATTTTTACATTACCCATCCCTCTCGTTCTTTCTGACCTGCAGCCAAAGATGGCTGGTTGGTTCACAGGAACAAGCAGGGCTAGTCTAAAAAATGTAGGCAAAATTAAAAACAACTAATGAGTGTATAATTTAAAGACAAGTGTATGATAACTTTTGAAACATAATTTCTCTCTCTCTAGTCCTCAATTTTGTTAAAAGAGAACCACTCATCCTAAGACTGAGTGGTTTGAAAAATAGTCTTTAGTCTTGTAGTTGTCCTGATTATTTGCATAAAGTGCAGCAAGAATAATTATTTCTGCATAGGCCTTTTGGATTGGTTTTGAAGGAACTCTGTTCCACAAGGAGTCTTAGATAAGAAATTTTAAGGCTGAACCCAGTCGTGGGTATATACTCAGATACCTGTGAGTTGGGTGATCCTTTCCTCTTAAGGTCCCGGGATAAACTTGAACCTCCTGGACCTGTGAGAAAGTGACATTCTTTACTAATCACAGGTCAGGAATCCTATACAGGGACTGCATAGGCAAGGGTATGAGGCCAGTCTCCCCAAGGGGCTTTTATCAGTTCTGCAAGTTAAGATTGACCCCTCAAAGGGAAGCATACCCTTCCAGTTAAAGCCTTGGCAAAATAACCATTTCTGCATCCTGCTGCAAGAGAAAGATGGATCCTTACTGCACTGAGGCAAAGATCTATATTGCCATAAGTTAAGAATACTCAGTTTTCTCATTCTAGAGGAACCAGACAGAGAGAAACATACACTAAATTTTGTTCACAGGAGTATACATTACTCAATTATAAAACGTCATAAACAGTTCAAAATAAGTTTCCTTGACTCTGAAAAAAAGACAAGGATCAGCAATATTCCAAGCAAAGTCAAAAAGATTTGCTCGTTTCTTGAGTTCAGTCCACTTAGTTAACTCTTGTTTTGGTTCATATTTGTGAACATTTCAGCGCTTCATGAGTATTGTACATTTTTCTTTATTCCAATGATACAATCTCCAAAGTTATCAGAAGCCTGAAGTCGAAAGCACCTGTCAAAGTTCTATACTTGATTATAAACCATCCTTTTAAAAGGATTTAAACAAGACAATTGTTTGTCAATAGCAAAATGTTCAGGGTAAAGTTACAAACACAACTGACAAAAAAGTTTGATTATCTCCATGGTTTACAATAACTTAGTGTAACAACCTCAATTATAATCAATAACATATACTCAGACATTTGAATTTTAGAAATCCCATATGATTTTGGAACATATATTACTGTTATTCACAAAAATATAACCTAAAGAAGACAGAACATCATTTTGGCAATCCCATGTACCTAAACATGCCAAATAATCCTGTTTGCCTCTTTTGTGGACATGCCAGGGACCCTTCTGGAGCGCAGAAAAGCCAAGTGTCAAGACAGGCAATTTTGTAACTGAAGTTGGATTTTGGGAAGTCTGCTAAATAATATTAAAGGTTTAAAACACTTGATGTCATGAAATAGAATTCCAGATTATCGTTATTTATTTTGCCTAAATGACTCAGAAGTTTTAAAGTAGCAAAAACATTTGATAGCCTTTTACAAATTGTGTTATAAGAGCAGATTAGGGGATTCAAAAAAACCTTGTCCTTTTATTTCAAGGTTCAATTTACAGAAAAACGATATAATACCCTCTTTAGTCAAAGTTCACACACAGAATTTTTTTGAAAGATTAATTCTTACAATCCTTCCACTAGTTGTTCGAATTTTTAACTTTTATCTAATTTAAAATAGTCCTTTAATAGGCAAGAATTTATATCTTTATGCCTTTTTATAATCTTTTACTAAAAAAAAAACCACATTTTATTATTCTTACATACTTCACATGTAAATCTATTTCCAGCAGTTTCAATTACATGTTATAATGGTAATTCCTACCAATTTTTAACTTTAATGTAAAACCTGGTAAGTTGTGTTAATTGTATGCCAAGTGCAGCCAAGGTTTGACTCCTTCCAGCATAATTAATGGTATGGTTAATTCTGTATGTCCACAGGCATTACCAATTGTGAAGCCAGCAAGTTAAATAGTTCTCAAAACCCAAAAAGCAGTTTATAACCTTAAAACACTTAGAAAACCTTGCATCTGACCTGCATAATTAGTTGACCTATTTATATTTTGATGGCATCTGCATTTTACCAATAATCTTTAAGGTTGCTTTTATTTCTGAAAGATTAATGTCATGTGAACTGAAAGGTACTACAGCTTTTAACTTCCCTTTAAAAAATATTTGATGCATGTGCTTGTCTTCCTTTATGCCAAATCAATTAGAGCTCCTTTTATAGACATTACACACTCAACACATACACAACTACAGAGACTGGTGGGAGAAAACCCAGTCCTTGCAAGATTATCACAACCAAAACTTTACAGAGGATATAAACAGTGATTCTTATCTTTCCTAGCTTAGTAAAACATCTTCCAAAAGGAAAACAACCCCATTTAAAAGTCAACTGCTGATGGGGTAGAGAAGAAAAAAGAATGCCTGGGAGAAGAACATCTTATTGCTGTCCCAAGGAGTTGAACCCCTTGTCCAGGGAAGAGGAAGATGCCATGGATGCCTGATGTTCACAAGCCCCAGCCAGCAGGAGACAGGGAGCAAGGAGCCTCTGCTCGCCTGCCTGTCCCAGAAAAGGAAGGAAAAGGCCACGGAGAGGTCCCGACTCCCAGGAGCGACAGGGGTGGGGGAACACGGTTTCCCCTACCTTCAGATGTCTGAGGATGAAAAGGCTTAGAAGCGACAGTGAGAGGTTTTGATTCCCCATTTCACTCACCCCTTCTCAAGGTCCATCTTCTGGACGCCAAAGCTGCTGCAGGACTTTTTCCTTAGTTCAGCTAAGAACCAGATTCTTGTCACACAGCCATGAGAGATTAGGCTCACAGACACTTTGAATGGTGAGAGAAATTGAATTTACTGGGCAAAAAGGGGGAAACAACAAAGAACAGGGAACTTTTGCAAAGCCAGAGTCCTGCTAGTGTGCTTCCCGTCTTGGTGAATGCCAGGCTCCACCCAGGAAGAGGAGGCCGAGGCTTCTTCCCACTGCAAGCTTCAGTGGCTCCACCTGAGTGCAGATTCCTCCCAGCATTCAGGATGTTTGGAGGTTCTGCCAGGGAGCCCTTCCCACCTGGCTGTCTCATAATCAAATCAGACTTAACCATTGTCTGAGCTGTTAGTTGTTACCTACAAAGAAGCTACTTTTACTACTCAAAAGAGGTCTGCAAGATGGAAATGTTCTTTTCTTTTATCTTCTTTTAAAATTATTTTCTGCTTTTACTGTTGAAGAGTTCTTTTATCCTCATTACTGCCTTGAATATGTTCATAAGTAATTTGCCAGGTGTTCTGTGAAATGTTATGTCCTTAATTTTCAACACAATATGTTTGCATCACTTTCAGAGTGCCTGATAAAAGTAAGAAATAAAAATGAATTTTAAAAAGCAGACAAAACAATGTATTGTCTTCTGAGTAAACAAAACATTGTGTTCAGTTCTCTCTATAGGTCAACAGTTTAGCACAGGAATCAAGGCCTACACATTATTTATTATGTGATAACTCAGAGCTTGTGTTTGGTAGACAATTGGTTAGATAGCATAATTCTAGCCCTCAGACCTAGTGATACAACGGGGCTGAGCGGAAATATATACTCATATTTAAAAGTTAAAATTTCTAAAAGTTGTTTATTCTTGATTGTATGCCTTGTGGATAATTTGATGAAAAATTTACTGAGCAATGGCTCTTACCATTCTAAAACAAAATAACACCCCAACCTAGGCATCTTCTTTCTTGGAAGAAAAGCTATTTCTGTTATTCCCTTTGGTCTGATCTTCAGTGAGAGAAACAACTAGCTGATGGTACGTTGTTATATAATCAATGATCTGAAAAATCCAATATACTTGTTATTAAAGAGTGTATTTGAAAGTTCTTAAAGTATATTAAATAGTGAATTACCATGGACATGACATGTGTAGTTTGAAGGTCTGGTTGTTAAAAAATATTTTATATATAAACCATATGAGACAAATTGTTCAAATATTATTCAAACATAAGAATAATGGATTACAAGACATTTATGTGAATTTAATAGTAAATAATCTTTCTTCGAGACCATCCTGGTCTACATGGTGAAACACCGTCTCTACGAAAAATACAAAAAATTAGCTGGGCATGGTGGCTCGTACCTGTAATCCCAGCTACTCAGGAGGCTGAGGCAGGAGAATTGCCCGAACCCAGGAGGCGGAGGTTGCCGTGAGCCGGAATCGCGCCATTGCACTCCAGCCTGGGTAACAAGAGCGAAACTCTGTCTTAAAAAAAAAATAATAATCTTTCTAGGGTTTTTTCCTTATCAGTAAAATTATGGGATAGATTTATATGACTTGTAAGGTCCCCCCAAGCTCTAAATTTAATGTTTCTTAAAAAATATTTAAAAGTAAAGAAAAATAATCCAAATTAACAAGGAAATATAATCTCTTACATATGATGCTTTAAACTTAATAATGTGACCAAACAGTCATCAAATTTTAGTTTTATTATAAATCATTTAAAATATCTTTGGTTATCCTGTCTAATTATTAATATTTATAAAGCCTTTATAGTGCCCCCAGCACACTATTGAATAAAACATGCAACCCCTTTTTCTGCACTAATTAAATAGAACTTAATTTCCTATACTCACAATTTTGCCATTCCATATCTTTCCCTGACTCTTTAAATCAGATTAGAAATTCTTTATACTTTGCTTGAGGATATTACCTAATGGACTCATTTCAACTTGCGTTTTTCTACAGCTAAAAAGAAAGCAGTTTTTACGCCATATTGCATTCACTGTGTTTCTTTTTACATTCTTTTAGTGGCATGTCAAATTCATTTACTCATTCATTCACGTTTTTCACCAAAACAAACAAACCAAGAAGCAAAAATATTAAATGTCTATCAGGGTCTTAGTTTGTATTCCTCAGAAGCATAGGCTGAGGCAGGGTTTCAAATGCATGTGTTTTACTGAAGGTGTGCTCTTGAGGAAAGACTTGTAAGAGAAGTAAAGAAGCAGGATAGCGAAAAAGTAACAACCCATTAAGGAAACAGTATTGCCTAGAAATCTTGCTCAGCCAGATCTGCTGAAGTGAAGTGATGAGGTATCTCTGGGACATAAATCATACCACATGGGTGGCCTGCCTTGAAGCAAGGAGCCTAGCCTTATGTATCTTTATATCAGTTAATCATTGGTTATTTACAAAGGAGAGAGGGTAATGGAGAGGCATAACCTTTCAAAGGGAAGACAAGCTCCTACCAGACAAGAACAATACTCAAGCAGAGGTTGCAGGTGTCAGACATTAATTGGGAGCCAATATTCACAGCAGCTGAAGTGTACTAGTCTAGGAAACTGGGTCTTGAGGAAAGACTTGTAAGAGAAGTAAAGAAGCAGGATAGCGAAAAAGTAACCACCCATCAAGGAAACAGTATTGCCTAGAAATCTTGGCTCAGCCAGATCTGCTGAAGTGAAGTGATGAGGTATCTCTGAGCAGCTGAAGTGTACTAGTCTAGGAAGTAGGGCACCCAATGGCATCTACTGAAGTCTACCCTTTGACACTGGTCCTGCACAGATCCATTTGCTTTTCAATTCAAATTGACTCTTTCTAGGTAGAGCTGTCCAGGAATAGTCACTATTCCTGGATGCATTTGTAGGAGGATGATTAGTGGGCTAAACTACATCCTTCACTGTTATTTTCACTCTTGAGGCCATAACTAATACATGTCTCCCCCTTCCACTATTTGTTTTGCATTTTCCTCACCCTCACAGGCAATTCTGCTGGATGACTAGGCTTGCCTGATTTGATCACCTAGACCCCTATCTATTGGTGGTGGGAATTGTGGACAGGATATGAACCATTAGTCATGATGCCATTCTCAGGCCATATTTATTGTACTTTTTAGCTAACTTCGGGCATGGAAACACCAGAGATCTCCAGCGAATCACCTAAACACTCAACTTATTATTTCCTACAAGTATTGCTATAGCAGCAACCTGTCTCCTCCTAATTTTAGTGTAATGGTGCTTACACTATGTAATGGTGCTTAAACCCTTGCCAGTATGGTGGCTACTTTATTTTCCCACTGCTCTTTTAGCAAAAGATGCCAAAAGTATTCAAACAGGAGCCATATCGAAGTGTTCAGTGAAACTCTAATTGTGTCTTATATTGGAAATACCCTTTGGGAACCATGATCTTCATAACAACTATGGTTTTACTTTATCTACCTGCAGGACCTAGGATATCACCACTATGAAAATGTATAAGGTATATTATTCTAAGTATGATATATTAAATAACCTTTAACCAAGGAATCCATGGCACAGCAAATTAGGTACACCATGGTCACATAACTATGTAATCCAATATTCTTGTCATGGATATACCACCAGAAACCATTGTCATCACAAAAGGTAGGGGAATGATCTATTTGACATAAATCTATGGCACCCGGGGGCAAACAATACCTAACATATTAGACTAATGCAATGATTTGCACAATGTCCAAATCATTAATGAAGTTCCAGGTCACTTCATTACTTAGGGAAGCCTGGTTAACCTAACCTCTGGGGCAAGATTGTTAATAGATATTCCAGTCCCAACTGAATATGAACTGTTTCTGAGTTACCTTTGTGATAGGAATGGTAAAAATGCATTTTTGAAAGCAGGAGCCCTAGAATCCATGCTAATTTTCTCTAGCAAAAATGCCATGTCTGGTCCAAGAGCTGTAACTGAATTTCCAACTTGCTTATAATTCATGAATAGTTCCTTGTTGTATGTGCTATGCTAATTACATTTTGTTTGAATGTGCCACTAATTTATGCCGTTTTTTTTCTGGGATGAGGTATTATTTTTATTGGTTGTATTGGCTGACAGATTGATTATATCAGAGGAGCCTACTTGGCCCCTCTCAATAAAATAGATTTTACTTCACAAATCATGGAACTAATATGACAGGTGTCCTACTACAAAGTAAGTTCCTTTCAGTTATATATTTTGAGACTAGGAAAATGACCACCAATTGAGTCTATGAACTCGGTTTTTTACCTAGCTCTCAATGTGCCCCATACTAAAAGGGCTGTGGCAGTTTTAAAGTATGTCCACATATTACTTGACATTCTTTCCTTCAAAAAGTACAGCCTAATGTCCCTCCTTTGAATAGGGACTCGACTTAGTGAATTACTTTTAACAAATCAAACATTACGGAAGTGACAATGTATGACTTCTGGTTGAATCACAGAAGACATTGCCACTTCCACCTTGCCAAGTTGGAGCCTCCTCTCTGAGTAAAGCCAGCCAGTATGTTTTAAGATCATTCAAGCAGTCCTGGAGTAGGTCTACCAGGGGAACATTTGAGGCCTCCCACCAACACTCAGCACTAACTTACTAGTCATGTGAGTTAGTCACTGGACGGACTCCATGTTTGTATACACCTTTTCTAAAATTCATATGTTGAAACCATAAATCCCAATAATATTTGGAGGTGGGGCCTTTGGGAAGTAATGAGGTCATGAGAGTTGAGCCCACATGATGAGATGAGTGCCCTTAGTGGAGGAGGCACACACACACAAGAGAGATTGTTCACACTCTTTGTCTGTCTGTCTGTCTCTCTCTCTGTCTCTGTCTCTCTTTATTTCTCTATGCCTCTCTGGTATGTAAGGACACAGCAAAAAAGGTGGCTCTCTACATGCCTGAAAGCCAGCCCTCAACGGACTGGATCTGCTCGTGACTTGATCTTAGACTTCCTAGTTTCTAGGACTGGGAGAAATAAAATTTGGTATTTCAGCCGTCTAGTCTATGGAATTTTTGCTATAATGGACAGAATGGACTAATACAGTCACCACCAAGAAGTGAATTCTCTAGATCCAGTAATGACTTGAAATAACGTGACCCCAGCTAACCTCTCAACTGCAACCTCATAGGAAACCCT